TCACACCAAAAAGAGCTGGTACTAAAATTAGTTCATGAGAACCTTTTTACCCCCACGAAAGTCCCTGCTAGAGAGCAGAGAGCTGCTAGAGAGCAGGGACTTTCGTACGGCTCTCTTGTGAGAAAATAGCTATATGTCTGATTGGCTTGGCGACCACGCCCCGTAAAACTCCCAAAAGTTTTGTGAAGCCGCCATTTTATTATCCTCGCATTAGCATTAGCCCAGCGCAGAAACGCAGAGAGACTAACTTATGGCAACACAAAATAAAACATGGGAGCGGTGGAGATGAGGAGGTGTCGGCGTTCTGGCAATTTACAGTCCCCAACTCCGGGGACTTCCGGCCGGGGACTTCCGGCCGGGGATTTTGGGCGGCAGTATACGCCGTTTGCGGCCTGCCAGTAAACCCAAAGCAGAAGAAGAAGAAGTGACGTCAGCGGCTTCATTTGCCTAATCCACCCCCAGGTTCAAAGAGTTCTCATGAACTAAATTCTCATGAACCTTTGTGGGAAAAGTACTGCGGTGTGAATGCGCCTAATGGTATACTAAAATCCATGTGAAAAAAATTGCTTCTCACTGTTCTCAGGTCAAATATTTATATGTGATTAAAAATGCGATTAATTTCGATTAATTAATTACAAAGCCTCTAATTAATTAGATTGATTTTTTTAATCGAGTCCCGGCCCTAATTATAACAGATAATGTTACTATCCTTAATTGTCCAGCAATCAGGCTTAACAACACTACTCTTCAACGTATTACCCATGCACAGACAGACCTAAAATGATGGTTCAAGTTTTAAACGTTTAAACCTTCCTTTCCAGGTTTTTACAAAAGTCTTTGAATATTTGCCTAACTTTTCCTTTTCAGATTGTTAAACATTTTGAGAATTGTTTAATTTTCCCTTCAGATTTTGAAATGACATGATGATTGATAGTTGAAGTAATGTAATTATGTTATCATGCCATAGTCTTTTGATTTAATATGTAATGAAGTAAACGTAAAGTAATCCTAAATTGAGGACACTGTAACTTTGCAGATTACGAATTGATCAAATCACCACTGTGAATTGTATACCTTAACTGTGATTTTATACCTCAGCTGGATCTGTTATGATCTTGATTTTATACCTCACCTGGATCTCTTATGATCCTATGTTTTAAATGCATTTGACTGGTGATTGCCTTAAACTAGATCTTTAAACTGCACGCTGGTTTTGATTTGATAGTTTGATAAGTGATATCAGCTAATGGTTACATGTTAAAACATATTATTTTAAAGAAGATGTTTTTGCTATTATGCGTCTGTGTTTTATGTGCGTTCATTATTGTGCTTTTGACAACAGATGATCCAAACATTGATGAGAGATGATTTTCTATTGTGATTGTCTGTATCAATCATTGTGGTTGAATGTTTCAATCTTATTCTACTTTGTGATGTAAATTGATGTACGGTGAGACCACACTCAAATCTGAAGACGCCTATTGATTTAAGTATTGACCAAATTATTATTAGACTAATGTTTTCAGGTTATCAAAGATGATAAAAAGAGAAGACTGTTAGAGAATATTTCTTCTCTCTTCCTAAGTGTCAAATAATAATTCTTCCTTACTCCTAAGATATTTAACCTTAATTGCCTGCTGACATTTTACGACCAAACCCTGGCTCTGTTATCTCTCTTAAGGAATGGGAGGCTCCAGCTATCTTGATAAACCAGTTCAACTCTCGGTCACAAAATGGTTTATCGCTGTGGGAACGCTGGCTTCTAAACACTGGCTTCTAAACACCACTGACAAGTGATTGATAATCTCCTCTAGCTCCACAGATGTTTTACGCCTCCCCCAATATGCTGATTAGCTCTCGGTAAACTAGTTAAAAGGTCTATCGAGAGATAGGCTGATCAGAATTGACATGACAACCCACCCGTGCAGTCAGAACCTTTTTCTGCTGTGACTTGTGATATGAATTCTCCAGCCGATGCTTGTAATAAACTACCAGTGTTTGACATCAAAGCTCCAACTCTCCTCGTGTCTCTCTGAGTCCTGACTCTCCATTGCAGCAGAAGTTTCCCTTACACCATGGATGTATAATAAGAACTAGATACAGCGTGGGAGGCGGGGTCTCGTTCTTTCCTATGAGAGCTGCTCATTGGCGCACAGGGGCGGTTCTAGGGGGGGGGGGGGCGGGCCCCCCCCCTAACACTGACCTCTGACCCCCCTGTGGCCCCCCTAAAAATGAAAAGTGAAAAAAATGAAAAATGTATGATTTATTACACGATTTATTGAATGACGGAATAGGCGGAACTAACGTTATTCGTCATTCTAGTCGGACCCATTAGAGCGGTGCACTCAGGACCCATTAGAGCGGTGCACTCACTTTCACTGATAATTGAAGGTGAGTTAAACTATTGCATCCGTGTAATTGTAGATGTAAAGTAGAGATGTAACTGTGCATTGCCTTTATTTTTATATAAATATGATATGGTGTTAGTGCAAAAATTGTACTATAACTTCAGCTGAAGCTAACAGTAATAACTATAAGATATATCTGAAATAAATAAGTGTACTGAAACAAATACCAATAACTGGATTGCATTGTTTTCTTATGCGCAATTACTTCATACTGTCTAGTTCTCTTTTTCGTCCTGCATTTATTGTGCCCCCCTCAGAAAATAACTGGCCCCCCAGTGGCCCCCCCAGTCAAATTGGTCTAGAACCGCCACTGTTGGCGCATGAGGACAAAATGCATATAAATGCCTTTATATATATATATATATATATATATATACAGAGCCGGCCCGACCCATTAAGCGACATAAGTGGCCGCTGAGGGCCCTGCAGCCACTAATGGCGCGTTTCCACTGCAGCGGGTAGCCCCGTTTAAGCGTCCTTAACCGTCCTCAAGCGGCCAGGCCAGTTTTTGGTGGCGTTTCCATATAGCCTAGTACCGGCCAGCGGGTACTTTTTCCCTCTTTTTCCGGCCTCATCAAATCGTGGTTCCCTCAGACCAGGGCCAGGGCTGAACTAGTGACGTCAACACTCTCGACTGCTGATTGGTCAGAGAGAATCATCACAAGATTGCGCGCGAGTTCATCCCTAGCATCGCATATATATCTAGAAGCAAGCTTGCAGCATTTTTATAAACATCATTTTGTAAACGGATGAGCTACAAAAATGGCTACGTCTAATAAGAAAAGCACACCGTGGTCGACCGAGGAGGTGACGACGTTCCTACATCTCATTGGGGATGATCAAATCCAGCGGGAGCTCGACGGAACAACTCGAAATGTGAACAAAAACAAAGCCGATCGCCCCGCCTACACTGCGTTGCTACCCCAGGTCCTAAACTGTAATGGAAATGCGCCACGGCCTGGGCCGGCCAGCGAGGCAGCCCGAGGCCAGAGCGAGGACGCTTAGGGACGCTTAAACGGGGCTACCCCGCTGCAGTGGAAACGCGCCATAAGGGGCCCCCTAGCAAAAAAATAAATAAATGTCATATCTCAGTACATAGTCGCCGTGATAAGTATGTTTAACTAATAGTGTTAATATGCCTAGATTGCCTAGTCTCAAAGTCATGTATTATATTATTGAGTCAATAATATAATACATTAACCGTGCTTTTCCTGAACCTCATCATGACGCAAGAGAGGACGGCAGCATTGTAATTTCCCGTGTTCAGTGAATGCAACAGAGGCAAGACACCAGACCAACCAGAGAGTTGAATGGAAATAAACATCTGTCTTATTGGCTGACAGGTACCTATCCTGTGAGCTGTGACAATGTTTAAAATAAACTGTCAGTCGGACTCAGAGTTTTTGAAGATGGACATAAGAAAACATTTTCTTAAAAAATACGACAATTCTCAAGTGGTGGCTCACACAACAACCCCAGAGCCACCACTTGAGCCAGGTAAACAAGGTATGTAAATGTCAGTAAACTTCCAAGTTTTGCGAACATAAATAAATATAAATAATAAATTACAGCTACGTTGACGTTACTTTGAATCGCGGGGGGAAGCTAAACCGTTAGCAAGTAGCTATAGCTAGCCAGATATATTTAATAAACACTTTGTCATACAATCTAAATGTAATGTTTTTTAGCTGGTGATTTCAAAGAAAGCTCTCTGGGAAATGTTGACTTACTGTTCGACATGAAGCTAGAAGCTACCTTAAAGTACACATTTGATCCGGAGTCCTGTCAGTTAAAGTGTTTCATAGTTAGCTTAGCTAAGCATCAACCTAGCACTGAAATATATGGATGTTATGTGACAGTATTTCTGAGAAAAAGTCAGCTGAAATGGTGGCATAGTTGCCACTGCTTTACGTGTCAACAGCATGTTTGAATGTATTTGCAGCAGTAAATGTGGCTGTTTGGCCACTGACGTTGCCATAACAACACCTGCATTTAAATGTGCAACCTCTTTTTGTGACAGATTTTTGCAAGAAATTATAATTATTCTGAATGATATTCCTATTGACAGCTAGTTGTGAACATTATGAGATGGACAGCCAGAGAGAATAAATGAAAAACAGTTATGAAATACTATATGACAAAACAAGAATACAGTTTAAGTGATTTGTAAAATATCCATAAAGAAAAATCTGTTTACAGTTCTGTTTCATATGGGTGTTGAGAGATGTATCCATAGATCTCTTAATTTTGCTCTCAAAGTGCACCAGATTGATGCTTTTAACTTCAATATTTAAAAAAAAAAATCCCGGGGGACCATGCCCCCGGACCCCCCTAGAGGAGGTGAGGACTCCCCTAGAGAAGGTTAGGTCCACGGTGTTTACATGCTTACAATATGTGTGCTCATGCTAACATCATAAGACAAAAGTTGGTTCCGTGTTGTGTGTAGTGATAACGCGCTAGAGTGAGGGGGGCTCCCAAGCCAAAGCTCGCTTAGGGCCCCCAAAAGTCTAGGGCCGGCCCTGTAGAGTGCCCCGGCCTGCAGACCACGCCCCCTCAGGTCAGTGCCCCGGCTTGAAGACCACGCCCCCTCAGGTCAGTGCCCCGGCCTGCAGACCACGCCCCCTCAGATCAGTGTCCTATCCATATGCTATCCATCAGGAGAACAGAGGTGTCTCCTCTCCTGTTGCTGTGACTCTCTAACTAAAGACACATCTGACAGGTGAGTGGGAAATCATTTCCAAACATGTTTTTGCATTGTCGTGTAATACAGTGGATATATCATCACGCTTCCAAGAGTTTTCCCAGCCAGTGGCTAGCAGGTTGAAAGATAGACTGCTGGCTAAGTTACGTTAGCTAGCTGACATAAATTAAGCTAACCGTTTTTCACGTTGCGTATCGTAATTCAACTTCCTTATATGGGAAAATAACGCTACACGCTAGGTTGTTTTGAGACGACTCTTCATAACCATTCAAAATACAGTCCTTTAATCTACGTGTTCAACGTTAGCCTGAGAAATAATGAAGGTATCTCATTTTGCCGTATGAGTACATTATGTATTCCCCTTTGCCATTCTCAAGTTTGAAATCAATATGACCAGACCTGCATTACTTTCTTCATTAGAATGTCAAGCTGACGGCACCGCCCACCACAGTGCATTCTAGTTGGGGCCGACTGTAAAATGAATTGTCAAATGAACCAGTACTAAATGATGTTTCCTTATTAAAATAAAGCGCCTTTGGTTAATTTTACATATGCCGAATTGTTAAGTGGTTAGTAACAGTATCACTAAGGCTTTGCAATATGTTATGTGGAGAATAAGGGTGTGTTAGTAAACGGTGTAACATTAAATGGCCTGTTTTTTTAACGGATTTTGGAAGCCAGCCACAGACGGGGACAGTAGCTAGCTTGATAGGGTCCTGCTGCATCACCAGGCGAATCATTTGTCTAGCGTTATCTTGACGTCTCTCGGGTTGTCACTATGTGTCGGTATGAACTCGGTGTGCCAAGAAAGCTGAACGGTGTTTTAAAAATAGATAGTATGACATTAACGCCTGGATTCCTGACCTTGTCCTGTTTGGAATAATGCACTGCGCAGGCTCAGAGTAACTGGATGCATTGACATGCTCCCTCCAATTATAACACAAGTGAACCAAAGATCTGACAGCATCATCTGGTCCTGTGTGCCAGTGTCAACTACTGTAATGCTACTGAGCTGTTTATTTTTGTCTGTCTTTTTGTCCATGTAGTTTTGCCTGAATGAAATCAGATAAAAACAGTATGTCTGTGCAGCAGTGGCGCCTCCAGAAATCTTTCATAGGGGTGGCCAAATGGGGCCACTGAAAATCTTGGGGTGGCCCACCAAAACCAAGAATGTAATTGTTGTAAAGGTATAGACTAGATTAAAAACAATGGCAAAGAGAATCACCTACTGATATACTTTGGTTTCTTATACTATTAATCTGAAGTGAATATAATACGGATAGTTAACATTTTACTTCAAACAACATTTAAAAGAACCTTGTTTTTTGTTATGTATACATGTATTGGTGATTTATTGTTTTGTTTTTTATATATGCTAGTTGTTCTTTCCTTTTTAAAAAGACAAATACAGCTTAATTAAAATAAGTTCCTTTATTGTAAGGCACAAAATGTTCAGCATTGTCAACACATACAATACACAACAGCAACACAACATGTTCTTCAGTTATATTATGTCTCTAGGTTATACATTGTTTTAGACTGAACAAAGCTGTTTGTGTCACACTAGGATCAAAGATGATTGACATGACTTTATTAAATCAAGTTTTAAAACATGACTATTTTATTTCAACAGGACCCAAAAACACAAGGGGTATAACATGGTAAATACATACTGTGATTGAACTCAAAAACACCATCTATTATTGACCTTTATAGCAAATTCAAAACATTATAAATGATTCAAAACACCACCTTTAGTATTAGACAGAAAATAGGTGACGAGACATATTTCAATTTTTTTTAGATTAGGCCACTGTGGTGAGAGTAATACATATAGCTTGTATTCCATTTGTTTTATAAACAAACTGGTTACCCTTTTTTTTAATTAGCATGCAGAACATTATGAAAACAAACTTGACTAATGGTCGGCTCATAACCTCAGAACACAGAAGAGGAAAAACTGCATAGATTCTCGTTTCATTTTGAAGGAGCTGCAGACCTAAAGTGTGTAGAAGACTTTAATGATTAAAAAGGTCACAATCACATTAATAAAACTGTATTTAGGTTTTAGTTTCACTTTTACAAAACAGAGTTCCACATGTACTTTCTACCATGTATGGCCATCTCCTCACTAGCCCTATGCTGCTGCTCTCCTGCCAGCTCTGTCTCTCCTTTACTCATCTTCTTCTTAAAATAAGAAGAGATGTCTGTTGACTTTCTCTTCATTTTCTGCAAATTGACATTACACACAGCAGTGATTAATAGTAGCCTACGCATTAGCCCAGCATACCGACATCAGCTAACGTTACCTTAGCAAGCTAAACTAACGCTAACTAGGATAGCCGCCAAAGTGTGTTTACAGACGAATTATACCTGAAGTCAAGCCAGCCTTTACTGAGCCCCGAGCCTGTTTTCCAGCTCTTCCAGGGTTTTTCTCGTTTTAATGCCATTGAACACACATTGTGATCAGAATAACAGCTAAAGGTTAGCATAGCTCCGTTTTTTGCTACCTAAAGCTAACACACTAAAGACTAAGTGTTGTGGGGCTTAACAGGCAACGAACGTATACGACTTACCTTCTAGAAGTCTGGTGGATTTTGGTGAAGTCAGTAGAAAGAAACGTTTTGCTGCAACCTGCTGCTGTCTGTGCGAATCTCAGAGTGGTGCGCCGAGTATCAGAGTGGTGCGCGCGAGCATCAGAGTGGTGCGCCGAGCATCAGAGTGGTGCGCCGAGTATCAGAGTGGTGCGCCGAGTATCAGAGTGGTGCGCGCGGTAGCAGAGGGAGAGGGAGGGGCTGCAGTATGCGCGTTGGAAGCTCAAATCAAGCGACTCGTTGGCTGTGTATTTGTTGTTAAATATCAGATAAACTACTACGCATACATGACTGGCTAGGCGGTGTGTATGGTGGGGGGGCCAACAAATATATCAGGGTGGCCAAGGCCCCCCCTGCTGGCGCCACTGCTGTGCAGTCGGATTCTAATCATTTGAGTGTCTGAAAATATGCCTGTTTATGATTCAGATAATTGTCCCATTCTCTAAAAGCACATTGAGTAACTAATTTATGTTACAGTAATCTGAAAATGCAACTGTAGTCCTTGAACACCAGATTGCACAATGTAAACACTTTGTTATTCTGACTGCATGCTGGAGGAAACAATACTAACAAATACTCCTGCTACAAAAGTAAAGAGTACAGACATATCAGAGATATCAGAGATATTTATACTATGGAAAGGAAATGGTATTGGCTATATTTACATTTGTATAACATTTGTTATTGAAAGTGCACCAAAATGACAGACACTGCATGCAAACCTGCTCATCATCTACTCTAATGCTTATTCACATAATGGATGTATGATGTTTTTCAAATATAAAACCTCCACAGATCAGAAAAATCTGTTGCAATCTTGGTCCTTTTTGTGAAATTGTGCCTGTTAAATATTCATTTACAAAGGTGTTTACTTAAAGGAGACCTATCATGCTATATTTAAATGATATAGTGTATGACCATACCTATATAAGGTATATTTATACATTTTATTTTTCAAAATACCAAACAGATCATTTTTTAGCCATGCCTCGTTTCGCTCATTTTCGCTCTTTTCCAAGCCTGTCTTTGAAAATTCTGAGCAGCAGCTGACCACGCCCCCTGCAGAAGAGGGGGGCATGAGCCGGTGAGAGTCACGTTAACATGCTTGCTGTGATTACGAGTGTGGAATAAACATGTCATCTCAGAGCAATGCATGTGTTCAAGCGTATTATCAATTTGATCCAGAGACTGACCCTGAAGCAGCGGAGGTTTTGGTGGAGGTGGAAACATCTCGGTTGCAGCAGGACGTTTCTGAATGGTTAGTTGACAAGCTGTTGTTCCTATTTATTTTACTCTGTTACGATGCGTGCTACTTATTCCGTTCATATTTTGGCTAATTAGCAAGAATGCTATGTGTACAGTTTATAACTTAGAGCTTGTAACGCAAAAACAGCGATACATATATATATTTATAAAGGGAGACATTCATATTTTCAGCATATATACAATGGCCTCATTGCGTTTATTAATAGTTTAGTCCTTTTCTTCCAACATCGTGCAACAACCGTTGGAAAGTTCAATAACTTAGGGTGATAAAAAGTATAACTCCAACAACACCTCAGTTGTCAGCAGTGTGTGTGTAGTTTCATGTGTTTTTAAAAGCTCAGTTATTGACTTCTTTCTACAGGTGTACATGTGCAAATTGCGCCACGATGCCTTCTGAACGGAGAATGTGTGCTGCATGGAGATACCACAGGTAACATTTTTGATAGCTTCACTAAGTTGTCTGTTTAGAGAATACATTTTTAACATGTCATTCAATATATCTTTATCACACTAGGTGTCAAGACGGATGCAGGAACTTGAGGACTCTGTAACCTGTGGTGGACCATCCTGGATTGGAGCCTGTGTGCCTGAATGTGTTCTTCCTGCAGAATGCATTTAATATTTACAGAGCTGAACATGGTGGACTACAGTTGAGGCAAATAGAGCAGTGAGTGGTTTGTTTGTTTTGACTGAAAGTGTAAAACGAATGCTAATATTGTTCATGGAAATAAATACTGGTGTATATGGCTTTATGCAATCTTTCATTGTACATGTACTATTATATATATATATATATATTATTACACAGCAATGGCATAACACACCCATGTGTACGACAAAAAAAGTCCACACACAACCTTATGCTTTTGAAATCAGAATATTCTTTACCCATCCAAACATGAATAATCACGACACATTTGATATCAACTCTGAACTTTATTGTCAAAATGAACGGTTCTTTGAACCCATAAAAAAAAAACGAAATGTACTTGTATTTTGTATAAATTACACTAAATATTTTTTTTAATGATTTCAGGCGTCACAGGTATCTAGCCTACAGAAGCTTTGTGAGCTGGTGCTGGGGCTTCCTTGGACGCAGGATCAGAGTGGTGATTCCGGTCTGCGTTGTCCTCAAGGAGGCAGGAGTTTCCTGATCCG